CGATGGAGACCGAGAGCGACAATCAACTGCCGTTCCTAGACGTACTCGTTCATCGAAAACCGAATGGGAAGCTCAGAACGACGGTTTATAGGAAGGCCACTTATACGCGCCAAATCCTGAGTTACCACAGCAAGCATCCTGCTAGCCACAAACGCAGTTGTGTGCGAACGCTGTACAAACGGTCAGAAACACATTGTAGTTAGCCAAATGAAGGAAATTTGAAATGCAAAACCTCCAACGCCTTTTCATGGCCAACGGTTCCCCTAAAGCCTTATCAAACGCGGCAGGCAGTCTCGACCGAACCGAAGTTCAGCAGCTGACCAACTAACAGTATGGCGTGCGTTGCATTACACTGATGGGGTGTCGGAGGCAGTCTCCCGTCTACTGAAACCTCTGGATGTCGGCATCGCTCACCCACCAGAGGCGACAATGCGACATCTAGTCATGCGGCCGAAGGAACCCCTGCCCCGAGGTGAAACTGCCAACGTCCATTACAAGATCAAGTGCGATTCGTGTGCGGTTGACTATGTCGGATAGACGGGGAAGCGACTGCAGACGCGAATGGCAGAACACATAAGGGCGGTAAGCAGGATGGACGATCGATCGTTGGTGGCGGAACACTGCGCGAATTCCGAACACAAATTCTGCTTCAAGAATGCCGAAATTCTGGGTCAAGGAAATGACTTCGTGATCAGGGAAATAATCGAAGCCTGGCACACGGATAAAGCCTCAATCAACCGTTGTGTTGCACTTCCCATGGCATGCCAAGCTCTTCGAACGCATCTCAATGAAGAAAAGAGCAAACGAGACCATAAACGGAATGCGTATCCACATAATCGCGAGCCGATGATGGACACATACATAACTGGGCCACAACCGGAAGTGGCAATCATCAGCTCAGCCAGTTCATCCGGTCAGTCTGCGATTGTGAAACCAGGTGGAGGCTTGAGCGCAAAAAGGATTGCCGGCCTAGGGCGACTTCTTCGATTGATGGCAGCTGGCGAGCCGATGGTGGACACACACACATAGCTGAGCCACAACCGGAAGTGGCAATCATCAGCTCAGCCATCTCATCCGGTTAGCCTGCAAGTGTGAAACCGGACGGACGTAGTGGCGTAAGCAGGATTCCCTGCCTGGGAAGACAGCTTCGGTCAATGACAGCTGCACAAGCACGAACACCGGAAGTTGACGGGAGACCCCTTGACTGAGGTTATTACGCTCCACAGGGCACGATGACTGATCATCCTCTCTAACCCCATCCTCCCTCTTCCCCCCCTCCTCTGTATTGGTTAAACCCCAAGTGACTATGACTGCCAACACCTATATAAACTGTGAGGCGCGGTACAATTACCACTTCTGATGACGGCAGCCTGTACGCTTTTGAAGCCTCAGGACTTGATATCCCTTAAGTACGAGCCTCAACGCATTTCCGGGAAAAGTATATGCCCTAACCAGACAGATCGGATGAACACCCCAGTTTTATATTTATATATATTCACTCAGAAATGTGCGAACACCGATCGAATAGGCTT